CTGGTTCAACGACGTCTTCCGGGTACTCGTTGTCCTCCTCGCGAGAGCACGAGCAGGCACCATTCTTCCGTATGCGATCGCCATGTCCATGGCCCCACGCAGACGATCGAGGACTGCCGATTTGCCAGCGCCCATGCTGCTGCGCTCTCTGGGTTACACATGAATATCAACGCTTGGCGGGAATGATGCCTGACACTACGTGATAGAATCTGTAGAACCGGACAGAAGCAACCTGATAAGACTTGCTTGGGCAGACTTGGTCGAATCAGACCCTGTCTTGGGCCCAACTCTGTCCTATGACGATCTACCGGCCGCCATCTCGAAACTGAGTAGAGTCGAGGAGCATTACCAGTAAGCCTATTACTTTAAGGTTTCGCTGGACCCTGCATACGTTAATTCCTTTGATCCAAGGGTGCATCATGATCGCAGTCCGTGCGTGGAAAGTGTACCGTACTTTGGGGAACTCTTCAGGATCCTCCGCGTGGGGGGGTTGAGAAAGTCATAGCTACGTTACCTACCGCAGAGGACTCTCTGCCTCAAAGAGAGAACATCAAATACACGCGGTGGCGGTCGTTTCGGTTCTGAGCAAGGTGTTAGGGATAGAGGACAGAGGATAGAAGACATCAGGCAGTATCGTTGCGTTTTAAGGGGCTAGACGGATTCTGCCAGACGCTCACATTATACAACGGGTATTGAAACTAAACTAGCCGGAAAGCATGCCACAGCTACGGCGCATTGCGCAGACCGTTGCGAACGGTCGGTACCAACTCGGTGGTATATACAATGTATCTCGAAGCCCTGCAACCTCTCTGTGGGTTGCGTGCGACCTCCCCATGCGGTTCATGCCAAGAAACTCGCCCGACAGCCAACAGAAGCCGCAAAGTTGTCTGTGCTTTTGGGCATACAAGCCCGGCAAGACGTCTGCGCGATGGAGCTAGTAAGATGAACCGAGACAGCGAGCGGATCCAGGTATCGAGTGACGTTCTAGGGGTTCGCTTTATGGAAGTTATGCCTGATCCGCACTTCATTATGCACAGGCGGCGCCTTGGGATTTGTGCTTGAGGAGCATGTTGTGTGAAAAAGCCTGCTGATAGGACAGTAGAAGCAGTGCCACAAGCCCTGACCGGCAAGCGCTATTGTTTCGAAAGAACCAGACGCTTCGAAATGGAGCTCTGCAATGTCATTGACGGAAAGACAGTGATTGCTTTAGTGAGGTAACATGTTGTCACTGCCCCTCACAGAGACAGACCACATGACGAAGCGCCAGTTTTTCGTGGCTTTTAAAGGGTCATATCTCCGCGCAGGTGTGTTGGAGATGTTCCACACCCATATCAATCACGTGAGTTTGCTGCGATCCATTTGGCCAGGTTCTCGGGGTTGACATCTTGCTCGATGAGCGAGATGGCGATGGACATGGTCTGTTTGTCGAGACGACAGTTCTGGGTTCTTGACGTGAGCCATGCCGGGCCTGCGACGGACGGATGGCCATGTGACTTACGAGCAGGGCAGATATCTCGAGCAGGATCTGAACCGCTTGGGACGCTGCCTGTTGCTTGGTGATGGCCGCGTTGTCTGCTGTGGCGGGCACTGGGGCCGAGGTCGAGGGGGAATGGGAGTGGGTGGGCGGAGGTGCCATTGTTTTGATCGGTCTGGACAACGCAGAGCAATTATTCGAGAGGTGGGAATGGTATGGGAGTTGAACAGGAGGCGCGCAGGTGATTCACAGTGCAGAGAGGTGAGGCGAATGACGGTATCAGTGAGATAAGATAGCGTTTCTCAACGGAGGCACGCGCTGAGGTCGCGGTTCATATGAGACGACCTCGAGGCGGATGGAGATGGATGGGTTTAGCAAAACTACTGGCTAGCCCGACGTAGTTAGGCGCACATCTGGGCCTCCCCCCGTCACCGTTCACGGTGAAGCTTGAAGATTGGAACTAGTTCGGCTGCCCGGACTGGGGCCCGAGCCTCCCGCCTGAGCTGGGCCGCGGGGTTGCCCGGCAACGAGAAGACGGTGTGGCTAGTGTTTACATAGTACGTCCGGGGCGTACCAAGGCTCGGGGATTTCTCTGTAGGCGCAGCATCATCCCAACCCGACCCCAGACTTGCTGGGATTGCCCAACTGCCCGCCTGCTTGTTTGGAAGCCCGCCGATCGACCAGCTCGGTTTGTAACTTCCCGTCCCGCCCTCTCTTCTCTGCCCCAAGACCCAGACCCAGACCCAAACTCAGACTCAGACCGCGACTCTCGAGGACGGAAGAGCATCGTCACTTCATTCATACACCGCTGCTGCGCTGCTCCGCCGCCTAGGAGTTGGCCCATCTGCGTATGGTCCATGGTGCAGTAGATGTATAACCTCGCATTTTTTTTTTTTTTTGGCAGCTTCGTTGCTCAGCATTGTTTTCGTTGTTCGCTTCGCTTCATGATCTGTTCTTAGCCCTGGTCTTCTTCAGCGGAGAGACACTCCTCTCCTGTCTTGTCCTGTCGTGTCTCAGACCCCATCCCTCGCACAACAAACGCCATGGCTTCCATAGAGAACTACAACCAGTTTCCCCGACAGCAGCCGCCCGAGCCCCCGCGCCACCACCAACGCTCCAAGTCCAACGTGCTCAAGTCCTTCATCCACCGCCGCAACAATTCTGATGGCTCGGCACTGCCAACTGCAGACCTGATGGCCCCGGCACGCGTCACTGTCAATCCCGAGGACATGCGCACCCCGGACTTCTCGCGACCCCCAGCCCTCGGCGAGATCCAGAACATTCGAGTCGACGGGCCCCCGCCGAGGTCGCCCGGCAAGCTCTTCGATAGCAGATCTCGCTCTCGCTCCCCGACCAAGACAACCACCACCGTTCCCCTCAAGCCCTCGGATGACGGGCCTCCGTGCTCGGGCAAGCCAAAGGAGAGCGCCTCGCTCCACAAGCCCAAGAAGACCAAGTCGGTTACAAACCTGGTTGGCCTCCTAACCCGGCCCAAGAGCTCCAAGGATCTGAACAAGATGGCAACCGAAGACGACAAACGCACAAGGAAGGACAAGGAAAACAGGACGCCTCCCTGCTCCATGAGCAACCCCCACGAGGAAGCTCGCCCGCCCATCTACGCTCAGTTCTCCAGCGGAGCGCTGGAGAAGCAGGCCTCTGTTTCGAACCTGGGAAACTTTGGGCTCGCCAGTCGGATCCCGGATAACCGCTCTTCGAGCGACATCTCCAACGGCTCTGGTCGAAGGCCCCGGCCCCAGTCGTACCATGCACAGTATACACAGCGATCCGAGTCCAGCTCGGCTCAGAGTAGTCTGAAAGCCCCCTCGCCCTCCAAGACCCAGCGTGGCCTTAAGCTGTTCACGCGGGGCCTGGCTGGCTCCAAGCCCGAGGTGGCTCCTGCCGACAAGGCGGAGCCGGTCATCGACCCCAAGGATATCGACAAACATCTAGAGGCCATGCTGGACCGAAGGAACATCCCGGAGAACCAACGCTACAAGATGAGAAACCTGGCAGACACTATCAAGATGGAATTCATTCGACAGGACTGGGCCGAGAGTCACGCGGCCCTCAACCGCCCCAGCACCAACGACAGTGACGGCAGCATCGGGGCAGCTCAGAGCAAGGAGACTAGCAAGCCCAAGAAGCCGCGCGGTATGAGCTTCACCCTCTCCAGAAACAGCGGCAAGAAGTCGGAGCCAAACTCGCCAACCAAGAAGCAGAAGGGCGACGGTACCATAGGACGGCATTTCCGAAGCAAGTCGACCGACAGCGTGGTCAGTGAGAGGCCATCCTCCTCTGGCTCGACAACGGGTAGTGGGATTCTGTCAAAGATCAAACCCCAGCAGGGGCCGGCAGATTTTGTGGCTTACCTGCGCAAGGTGCAGAAGCCCGAAGCAGTCGAGGTTGGAAAACTTCACAAGCTACGCTTACTTCTGCGAAACGAAACAGTCGCCTGGACAGATGAGTTTGTGAGACAGGGTGGGATGGAGGAGATTGTAGCGCTGCTCCATCGCATCATGGACGTTGAGTGGAGGTAAGTCTTTGAAATTAGCCAAGAAATGACGAGCATAATACGGGTACTAACTACTATCACAGGGAGGAGCATGAGGATGCTCTTCTCCACGAGAATCTTCTCTGCTTGAAAGCCCTCTGCACGACAGGCCTCGCGATGCAGCAATTACACTCGATCCAGGGCAGTTTGTTTCCTGCGCTCTTGCACCTCATCTTTGACCCGGAGAAGAAGGGGCCCAGCGAGTTCACCACTCGCAACATCATCACCTCGGTCCTCTTCACCTACATTCAATCGGCCTCACCAGAAGACCGCATAGTCCGAGCCAGGACGGTCCTTGGCCATCTTCGTGATCCTGAGCCCAAGGACGAGGAGCGGCCTGTGGAATTTGTCCTGGAGATGCGCCGCCAACGCCCTTACCGTGTCTGGTGCAAAGAGGCCATTAGCGTAACCAAGGAAGTCTTCTGGATCTTCCTCCATCACTTGAATGTTGTGTACCTTCCGCGCGACCAGGAACATTCGACTACCTCGTACTTTTCCCAACCAAAGGATAGCCTGTCCTACATCCAAGCACATTTCCCTCAGGAACGCCCGCCAGTTCCAGCAGCTCCTTATGTAGGTGGTGTAGAGTGGGATGCAACCAACTACTTGGCATCGCACCTCGATCTGCTGAACGCCATCATTGCCTGCACGCCCACGCGGGAGGAACGCAACAACCTGCGTGAATTCCTTCGGATTTCGGGATGGGAGCGCTGCATGGGCGGTTCGATGCGCCTGTGCAAGGAGAAATTCTACCCCGGCGTCCACGACGCTTTGCGGGTATGGGTCTCTGCGGCGCACGAGGATGGCTGGGACGTCAAGGACGTGCGCTACGGACCACCACCGGAGCCTAAGAGCCCGGCCAAGGGTGGCGCCGGTAACAAGCCGAAGGCCGTGAAGAAAGAAGACGCGGCGGCGGCGCCTCCCAAGATTGAGATGCCGAAACTAGATTTCGCATTACCCTCTCCCCCTGCTGGGGCTGGCGGGAAGGGGGCCGCGATCAAGAGCGACGACTACTGGCTTTCTTGAGGGCATGGCCAGTATTGCATTTCACTGGCGAGTTGACGGATAAGCTGCTCAGAGATCTTGAAAATCGCAACAAGGCCCCCGCGTACGCTCTTGGTACAAGTTGTACTATCGCTCCGGCTTGGTCGGCGCACATTGTACAATGGTTATCTTCGGGGTACCACCCTTGGTCGGCATCTCTAGGCCCATGGGTAACACATCGAGGCGGGTCGTAGCCCCGACAAGATCGCATGGAAGATTTCCCTCAAAAGGCCCCCGGAGTTGTTCATCGAAGTGTGCACAGGATGGCGGATCTGACGAATTTTCCTCACTCCTTTTTCTTTCTGCCAGGATTGGTCGGCGACGGGGAGTAATAATGACATGAACGAAGACTCGACACACAGAGAGAAATGTATTCCCAAAGCAAAGGCCCGAAACTCAGACACGAGACGGACCAGGAAAGGGAAAGGGAAGGGCGAAAATCAGGCGTTGGGCATTACGGGTTTGCATATTGGAATTACTCAGCATTGTGATTGTATAATGATTTGACGAATACACACGACTCTGGCATTTATTTCTTTGGTCTCTTGGAGAGAATACAAAAGTGCGCATACGCCCAATTGCAACTCTAGAGGCTGGTGTCGTCTCCATGTGTATCCATCCACTGGAGCTTGTCCGTTTCCATGGCTCCGTTGTGGGGACATGATTGGTCTTCCAGGATGGAGTGTACACTTGAGCCGTGCAAAGAAGAACGGACTTGTATAGTCAAGCATGCGTCCAATAGCTGCCTGCGGCTTGTCTTTCTCGTACAGGCAGAGACATTGCTATTTCAGCTTTGTGAGCTGGACTTGCCTATGTGAACGGGGTCTCCCCAAGTCCTGTGTTGTAGATGTTTCTGGTCTTGAGAGGCTGTCTGTGAGTCTTTGGCATTATTATAGCCCATCAGTCATGCACAGACGTGTTCACGGTCTACAATCTAGTGCCTCAATCTCGTGGCCGGCGAGCTTGAAACTCACGTACGGCCCATGCCAGGTATATCTTCTGCTACGGGCCCACGGTGGATAGCTACCCCATAATGGAGACACATGGCGTTGCAGAGTATAACCCGAACTTACAGCAGTATAGTGCGCAACCAGGAGGTCTAGAAACGATCGGCAGTCCCACCGAGTCTCCAGATCGCCAGCTAACTAACTCAGCTTTAGCAACTCCTCCCCGCCCAGGCCATCGATCCCATTCTATTCCCCCCCCCCCCCCCCCCCCCCTAGGGGGGGGGGGGGGGGGGGGGGTACCGGGGACCGGCAGCATGACTAGTGAGCAGGGCGAGGGGGGGGGAAGCACGAAAGCCAGCGGCCAGCCAGCTTGGTTGAACCCGGGAAACTCAAAAAGTTTCGCAGAAATGGCCACCGACAGGCGGGGTGAAAGGACAAGGGGGGAGTGTGAGAGAGGCTCCACTATAGCTTTCGCAGGTGGTCGCACGCTGGATTTTCGACGGAGCTTGGTTTCCGGCAGCGTGGTAGTTCGTGGTCTTCTTTTAGACGCGGCAGCAAGGCAGGTAAGGTAGGCTGCCAAGCCGCATGCATTAGATATCCCCCCCGGTCCCCATCGCACATGTGCTCATGTAGGTGAGCGGAGCCTGGGTCTGGGTCTGCAAGAGAGAGTGTGAGTGAGTGAGTGAGTGAGTGAGAGAGCTGATCACCAAAGGCCGTTGGCTGGATTCATCTGCGTGGGTGGTGCGTGAGAGAGAGGACCCGTTCCCTTGTCTCATGTGCATGCACGTATACTATGTATATACATCCATGTATGCAAACAACATGGGCCTCTTACCAGGAACGAAACATCTCACATACAGAGATGCAAAGCACCTGGCCAGAGCAGACCGTTGAGTCTGGGCAGGTAGGGTTGCGCCGGTACCTGAGCCGTCGCTACCCAACCGCCCCCCAGGGCGAAGCTTAAATGCGACTTTACCCCTGGAACCTTCCGTCGTCGCTGTTTGTCTGCGGGCCGCGGCGTAGAGGTAAAAGTGACTGCAAGGAGTCAAGAAGTCTTGTATTTCAGGGTCGCCCCTTTAGTAGGGAGAGTCTAGTTACCCCGAGAATAAAGGGGGGTAGAGTTTGATAGGCAAAGCTTGGGTAATATTCTTCCATGGGTGCCGCGCATGTGCAAAGTGGGCAAAACCGCACACCGACTCGGGTCAAAACAGATCATCAGCGAGAGTGGGAGCAAGAAAAAAAAAGGTCACGATGGTGCCAACATGGTGTCTTGGGAGACCCACGACCCGGGGGTTCCGTGGGCCGGAGGACGGGGCGTTGGCTGCTTGGTCTCTGCATGCGCGTCGGTCCTGTCGCAGGAGCGAGATAAGGAAAGTCCGTGGCCGGGGAGCTGCTGCAGGACAGGGAGGTCTAGAAGAAGTGATCTTCTCCTCTTCTCAATGGCTGTGCCCCGGGTTAGCAGGGATGCGTCTGCAAGTCTAATACTCCACGGGGCACCAGACGGGCAGGACTGGGAAATACGAAGGGCACAGGGTGGGATAAACACCCGTGCGACGGCAATCTGTATGCAAATGGGAACCACACGATGCACACATGATCAGGAAATCCTTTGTTGCGCAATCTTGTTGAACCCGCCGCCCCGTTCCAGCCCCTTATCTGATGGGAATGCACGGTGGGTGGATTACGGCTCTTATAGAGCCAGCCGTCTAGTAGTACGGCTCGCGAGGGAGCATAGCCTCCGTCCTTTTCTGTCGATCGGCGGCTTCTTTTGGTCGTCCAGTGAGTAGTAGCAAGACTAGTATGCGCACCCATGTGATGCAATAGTGTTGAGGATGGAACCCGAAGAAACAGACGGCGGGCGGGCATTGGGCAGCGAGCGGAGCCCCGCAAGGGGCTGCTGCGTTGCCTGTTTCCGTCGAGTTGGTCTGGGCTGATTGGCTGGGGACCCCCTGGGGGCCCTGGGGACACAAGGTGATAGTGCAATATTATAAATCGATAGACAGAGAGAAGCAATAGGGAGAGACACAACAGAGACAACGAGGCCAAGAGAGCAGGCCGCGCCCAGAGGCCCTTGCATGCAGCTATCATCATGCCATCTTGGTCATATGGACAGGAGGGGAAGGGGGGTCCTCGATACGGGGGATGAGCCGTCAGGCCACTTTTCTCCAGGTCGGTCGAAGCCTCCAGAGGGGAGAAAAAGAGTGGTTCTGTGACGTGACTGCGAGAGCGGTGCCGAGCATCCTCTGGGAAGCGGCGAGAAATCCAGCCCAGTCTGAGTGGCCGAACGCCGCACGGCTAAGAACGTGAAGTGACCCGTGTCTTTGGCGACTGACCGAGCAATTGGCCGACTCGAAAAGACTGTAGATAACTAGCTGGCGGCTGGCTCGACGGGACGATAATGTCATGATTAGGTACTGTGGGCAACGTAGGGCTGGCTGGCTGGCTGGCTGGTTGGCTGGCACAAGGTCCCCAGTGCAGTCTCGCAGTCCAAACAGGCGACTGACTGAATCGACGAGGTTCGATCGACGGGGCAATTGACGTTGACGAGGCTCGAGGACGGGTCCGCAATGGGCAAGAGGATGGACGGATTGGCCAATCACATAACACAGGCGACTTGGGCAACCCCGCAGGTTAGGTCAGTGGTGGGGTTCGAGGGATCGGGGCATCGGCAGCAGGATTCCCACCAATATGATGTCAAGGGCGTTGCATGGCCAGTGTCCCAATGCCCTGGCCCGGGTCAGCTTGTGCGCGTGTGTGTGTGTGTGTGTCTGTGTGTGTGTATCGTGGCGCACAGGGGGGCCGTCTGGAAGCAATTCGCGCCATGCTATGCCGTGTAATCTGTGGCGGGGTGTGGAAATCAATTGCAGAGGAGATGCTGTGGCGGCCGCCGCCAGACCGGAACCCGTCGCCGGCCTCGAGGCCGTAACTTGGATCACCAAGTTATTCCCGTTACCAGGCTCTGCGCAGCCCGCCCAGGCCCGAGCTTCCTCTGTGCAAGAACTGCCAAACTGTCCCCCGAGTCCGGCCCCGCAAAGAATCGCGCCTGGGCACGCTGGGCACGCTGGGCAATCTGCCAACGCCCCCAAAGGCCCCAGCTTGCCAGGCCGTCTCCCCAGCGGGCCCCGCTTCCCTACCTTAGGCCCCGCCATTGCCCCCCCAGGCGCCCCCCTCCAGCGCGGTGGAACTGGACCCATCGAGCGCGCTGCACGCATGACCACCAGCATTTTTTTTCTCCGTGCCTCTGTCTCCCAGAGCCGGCCTAGAGCCTAGAACGGCAGCCCGGCCCCTGCGCCGCTTGGCCGGCCATCACAAGCCGCTGGAGAGCAGGAAGCGAAACGACAGAAAGAGTCTTTCCGTCCTGTTACACCGACCACTGACCACTGACACACGCGCGGAGACAGCTGCTGTCCCCCCCCCCACCAACCAA